GTTTGCAGACCGGAGGAGGGGGGGGGGGGGGGATGCAAAAAAAACTGTGCAAACTCCCAGCCCATCCAAGATGGCTGCTACGGCTTCTCTGGGTATGAAGCAATATGCCATAGTCACAAGACCAGTTTGCTTGCGACTGATAGGGCATCAAGCCCTTAGCGGTGTCAAGGTTCCTGAACCATAACCATTGTCCTCAATTGGCGGCGTAGTTTGTTTGATCGTGTCCCATACTGTGGACAAAATCCAGCACCACTTCGAAAGCATGGTTGAAGTCATTGTTGGTATTTGCAGTTGCATCATCGGAAACGACCACGACCTTCCAGGTCCAGGGTCACGCCCCGCAATTCCACCAGTAAGGGGGTGTGGATGCCCCAGCATGGATTGGGGTCAACGAGCCATTTCGAGAGACCCTCGTTGATAGTTCCATGTTTTCTTGAAACAAAGTTGGGCTGGGCTGGGTGTACCTCGGGAGGGAAAGGGCCCCTGAATCTTGAATTCCAACCAAACGGCAAATCGGTCGAAAGGTAAACCTTGTGGATGGTGACCTCCTGCTGAACTTTGAACGTCCAATGCCACAATTGTTCGGTCAAAAGAGGAGATCTGCACAACTTAAAAGCGGGCTCACCTCAACCTAAAGCGCCCACAAGGTGTTTCCGGGTGAACACTCTGCAACCAGAGGTCCCGCCCCAAACCGGTTTTGTCTTACCCTGAGGATTTTTTTTGAGGGATTTGAACGTTTCACACTGGAGCAGTGAACACACGCAAACCATCCACGGATGGTATTTGTGGACAGCTCCATGGAACATATTTTGCCTGGTTCCATGATTTAGTTTCAAGCTCCATGTTCTTTTGGGTTCAAACATTTCGTTTCGTTTCGGGCTGACCAAAGCGGGGACGCGCGTCGAGCATTTTTTTTTCGGGGAACCGCTCCGCGGGGAAATATCGGAAGAGCTCCGCGAGGCCATGGACGCCAACATGGGCTCCTTCATCGGAGAGGCCTTCAAGGCGCGGGGATTCGTAGCTTGGAGCGAGCGGCTGGGAGCGCCTGGGTCCGGTTTTCCGGGTTTCCCCATAGCCCGACAACTCGGCCAAGAAAATTTTTGGGGGGTGGGGGTGGGGATGGGTGAAATTTCGAGTGAGTGGCGATGAACTTGTCACTGGTCGGCCAAGAAAACTGGGGGGTGGGTGAACTGGCAAACTCCCGAGGCATGGCGATTGTTGTTCTTCGCGATGCTGGTGGGCGATTGATTAGGACATGCGCCGCAAATTTCGGTTTCGGAGTCCAAAGTTGGGGTGAGATGCTTGGATGTTGTTGGGAAACATTTTACATTGTTGCTTATTGTGGTTTAGTCGCAAATCCCCCACTTAACTGTCAATTTCTATTTTTTTTGCTCCCCTTCCAACGTCAACTTCAAGACATGCTTTGTTGGGAACCCCCGGTCCCGGTCCCCCCCCGGTCTCCCGCCCCTCCCGCCCCTCCCCCCCGCCCCCCCGCCCCGTCGTCCACTCGCCCGACTCGACGGGCGCGTCTGGAGGTGCCCATGGTGCTGAAGCGCTTCCAGCCCCGGGGCTCCCGGCGAGACGTGGTCACCGCCAGGCGCGCGGGGCGTTTCGACTCGGTTTCGGCTCGGTTTCGGCGCTCGAGTGGGGTGGGTGGGGTGGGGTGGAGTCCCGTCAAGTCGGGGGGGGGGCTCCTCCATGTTCTTGTCCATTTGGTGAAGAAGACTTTGTATGTTCCCCTGTTGGTTTGAAAGGGAAGCGATTTCACTACTGGATTTTTTCATTTATTTTTTTCAGGGGGTGTTAGTGGACAGGAGGGTATGTACCGCAGGGTTTCTGGGGACTTGATGAAAATATGGGACATGTTCCTTGGTTCTGGATAGGTCAGACGCAAATATGAGACCGAAGCTGGGGTGATGTTTAAGGTCAAAATTCAGATTTGGACCCCCCAACACGGGCTTTGGTTTTCCTGTTGCTTTCGTTGTAAGCCAACTTGAGAAGGGTATCCTCAACAAATACCTACACACCCGGAGTTCATAGGGTATGCAGACTCTGCAACACGGACATCTTCAGCCGGCTCTAGAAGCTGCATCGCAAGAAGCGATTGATTTGTGGAAGCTCAACATGGCAAGTGCAAACCACGCAGGGCCCGAAGCACGTTCTTTTAAAAAGGGGACGCATACCCATGCGCAAGTATTAGGGAACCAAGGAGCCGAAAAACAAATAAAAGTCAAGTGGCCCCGAAACCCATTCTTGCCATTTTTTCTAAACATAATTTTTTAATGGATCCCCGGTTATTGGATGCTGAACCCCATTCCTGCCATTTTTTAAACATGGATCCCCGGTGGTTGGGTCGGGGAGTATGGTGGACGAAACTCTAGGCCCCTGAAAGCCGCCTGCCATTTCCTCTATGCAAAATTCTGAGTGGACGGTCACCTCGCACTTTGCCAGCATCTAGAAGTGAGTTCTCTGCCAGCATCACATCTTGTCCAGGATCAACCCATCTGACAAAAACAAGGTCAACTCTAAACGAAATGGGTGTTGCTTTTCATCTGCTTCAAGCAGTTGAAAACTGCTCAAAACACTGTAAATTGCAGTCCTATTGTTCGGCGGAAAACCATGACCATGGCAACCACGCCTAAGGTGGACAATTGGTTCGTGGGTTGTTGGGCTTGTTGGGCTTGTTGGGCTTGTTGGGCTTGTTGGGCTGTTTGGCTTGTTGGGCTGGTTGGGCTGTTTGGCTGTTGGGCTTTGTCCCGCCTTCAGGGGTTTTAGACTAGGTCCCGCAGTGCCCTTTCCCCCTTTTTGGGGGAGGGTTCCCCTACTAGAATAGACTGCAGAAAAAAGTTGGTACCCTTATGCTAACCTCTCTATTGGAGGACCTAGTTGTTGAGGGAGTCTTCCGTGTTTTTCGTTTCACGCCTCCCGCCCCCCAAAAGGCCCCCCCCAAAGGCCCCCCCAAGCAGAAGTTTTAGAGGAAACACCCCACCCAACCCCCAGGCTCATCGGCTTCCGCGAGCACATCTTCACGGTGGCGCACGGCATCTGCGGCGCCCGGCGCCCGAGTTTCGGCGTTTTCGCGAGCCCCTTGCGGGGGCTCGGGGCTCAGCCACGTGCTGAAAACCGAGTCGTCTAGGGGTAACTTCCATGTCCATTCTTAACCCAGGGATCCGGATCTTTCTGGGAAACCACCAAAAACCCTGGGGAAATGGCGATCGGTTTTTGAAAAACGAACGATGGCTGAAAAGAACGGGGAATCAACCCCTTGAATTCGGGTAGATGAAGGCTGGTAAGGGACAATCCCCTTGCCAGAAATCGCCGCGGCCGCCTGGATATATTTCCTTACGTGCTTCGGGTCAAAAATGCTAATACCGGGTTTGATTGTGATTTAGGTTTCGGAACTCTACTGTAAACTATATGAGGGCACAAATTTTGGATCTAGGTCGGGAAGTATATACCACCAACCATTTGGGAGGGTGTGCTCTTTCACGAAAGCTCGTGGTCATACTTTTAGCTTAGACAAAATATGAAACACAATTTGAAAGTTCGACTTTCTGACCTAAGATGTGGGCCAAGTCTTGGCGAACAGAGTTTCTTCGTTGTGCTTGTTTTCCACGCCAGTCCCCTGTACTTCATTGCCGAACTTAGCTGACCTGTTCGCCGTCTTGGTCCTTTTCGGTCTCCCGAACTTTCCCTTTCATCCAGCAAATCACTTTTCGCAGGTGCCTCAAGTTCCTCCACAGCAAAAATAGAAGAGGTACCCCTGCAAACGAGTAGGTTAGTTGACAATTCCACCTCAGTTAGCTCTTTTTGTCGGGGGTTTCCACTTTTTTGGACAACCCTCTTACCCATGGGGGAATTTTCGACCTCTAAAATTGGCAGTGGAAGTGTTGATCTGAAGTGGGGCCGCCTGGGGCCAGCTTTCAATGATTCCTGCTAGAAATCCATGTGGATTGTTGCTCCAAACGATCGGAGGGCTTTGCAAGACAGTCCTCATGAGAATCCCTCCTGTCCGTGTCTATTGGGTAACATACAGGGCTAAATCATGATACCCATGATCATGTTGTGATCCTTCTCTTGCTATGATCCTGCTCTAGTTTGGTCTTAAAGCACCCCCACAAGCCCATTCTTATATTCGCCCCTTGGATCTTTTGTTTTCCCAAGTTTGAAGCTGCAGAAGGCGAGACGTTCGGTTTGGGCCCACTCCTAAGGTGCTCAAACCGCTTTGGTTTGGATTTGGTTCCCTTCGAAGTCGACCACAACTGCTGGCTGCTCCGTGGGGCATGTCGGTTTGCCCCATTTTTCCATGGCCGGTGGAGGTCTACGGGGGAGGGGGCCGACTGCAAATGGAAGCCGGCTCAGTGTCCCACTTCTTTCGCAGAGAATCAGAGGCCAACCAGGCCATAGGAAGAAGTTCCTGAAACCCAAGGGAGCAAAAGGGATTTTTCAGGTACTTCGGACAGGTTCCCCTTTTGAGTAGTCCAAAGTTCCCAAATTCGGAGGGAGCAGCGCTTTCCGGGAATTTGGCCAAGCGGGACTCAAATCCAAATGTGGCCAAGGCCAGAGTCCTTTGGTAATTTTTTCAGGGGAATTCGTCTCGCCGCCTCATTGAAGGGCCACCTTGTTGGTTGCAAAACACATAGAATGGGTGACGCCGGAATAAATCATTCAATTCACAATCGGGGTGTTGCAGCTCGAATCACTTGTAGTATAGCAGACCTGCATGCCCGGGATGTTACTGACAGAGCACAAGTTCGTACCCAAGGGTGGGCTGAACGAACCTGAATGGGCCTGAGTCGGCCCCAAGTCCGCCGAGCGTCTTGCGGCTGCTTTCACTGCAGAGACCCCGGCACGTGCCTTTTCTCCGGCTTTTCGGCGGCCAAGTACGTTCTCATGCCAACATGGATGTTTACGTGGACTTCCACGCCTGACACATAGGGCAGCGCTTTGAGGCTGAAGCATGCCCTGCTGGAAAGTTGATTGCTCTGCGTGGGTCTACGCGGGTTAGGAGATCGCGGGCTGCATGCTCCCCCCCAACCCTAGAACGGGTGATGCTGAGGGGAAAAGGGTGGAGTGTTCGGGTGATTGTGTCAAATGTTGTTTCCAACATGTTAACACCCTTGATTGATTTCATCATATATGTTGTTGTGGGTGTTAGGTCAGTGAAGGATTCGACGGAGAGCACATTCCACATGGGTGTGGGTGGTGACCCCGTTTTTGTTTTTTTCCTTGCAGGTGACACAGGAAACTCGGGAAACTCGGGACTCAAAATCCCCGTTTCGCAGAGCGACGACGGTTGTAACTTGGGCTTTGAATGGACCGAAGAAGGCCCGAGGGTCCGAAGCCGGAACCGGCCGAAGGATATCAACGCGGTGGCGGAGTGGTGCTTCGGTACCTCCATCCAGCGCGTTCCAAGCTCGGGCGGGGCGGAGGTGGGTGTCAATCCTTGTTTTTTCCTACAAATCAATAGGAGGGAGGCCTGGGCATTTGAGGGGTTGGCCATTTCCTTTCTCTCAAAGGTCTGCTTTGTTTGCTTTTCTATAGATAGGTACTGCTTGCCTGGGTTTAGCGGTTTAACGCGAGTGCTGCGTACAAGTTTCAGGGTTTGAAACTTGGACAAGGTTTTTTTTTCCCTGATTCAAAGCCATACGGGAGTCATGGGAGGGCCATCAGCCCTTGATGGTCGTTAACTGCAGCTTCATAATAGTCAATGTCTCCCCTTATGGCTCGAAAATAGAGTATATGACCCTAGCGGAAGTCCTCTCGGAAGGCCCCCCCCATCCAAGCATACATCAACCTCACACGCCCAACTGAAGAAGAAGTTGGCCCGTGAGTCCATTGCTGCCAGTTGCTTCCAAAGCCGGCCCTAATTGACGGGCGAAGGAGGTAGGGGCGGGCGAAGGTCAGTACAGATTGCCCAAAATTCAATGTCATTGGTAGAGTCACTCTTCTCGGAGGAAATTAGAATGGATAGACGCCATTCTGCACCAGTTGGTGGGTAGTTTGTCAGCCAGTATTCACGGGGTTTCATCCCAACTGGCGCAGGATGCTGTCTATTCACAGTAGAAGGTTGTGGTTCTTGATGGTCCTGAATGACCCCAACGAGTCATGAATAGGCATTGGTGGTCCTGTGCTGTTGTTGGTTACATGTTTATGATATATAGATGGCTGATTTCTTGTACTTCTTTGCGGTAGCTGAGAACCAATCGTTTTCTCCTGACTATTGGGTCACGGCTGGTAAAAGGATCCCAACTATTTGGGAGGAACATTCACTGAATTTGCACAACTACAAGACTCACAAAAAACAACTCTTAAGCACAAAGCCTTTTGGGGCAAGCTTCCTATGTTAACTGGGCCTTATGGTCGTGGACCTTAGAAAGCGGTTTTCAACGGTACAGGAGGACATCCTGAGCAAAACCATGTCCTCGGGAAGCCGTTGGCGTGAGGTGCAGACGTGGCTGGGGGTGCGCATGCACTACGGGCATCCCGACTTCGTCGCCTCTCGGCCGGACTCGGTTTCGAGGCTCATGAGGCTTCCCTCCCCCTTAGCTGAAAGAGTTCATAGGTCCAGATCTCGGGGATGATTTGGAGCGGCTAACCAGGTTGTGGAGGGGTTTTCAGCGGGGCTGTTGGGGCTCCTTGTTTTTAGGAAGGAGTTGGAGCAAAGACGGTTGGTTCTGTTGGGCTTCCCGTTGAAAAGCAAAAAGGGGGGTCCTTCCCAAGACGCACCCATCTTAGAAGCCCGCCACTAACCTTGGCCTCAAGCTGAATTGGTGGGGGCGTCGACACATGGTTGCGGCACAGTTTTGGGTGTTAGGCCCAGTTTTTTTGTGAGAACCGAGCAAGCCCTCTTTGAAGTCATCAAGTAACATAGTCCTGGCCCACTTTGGTATCACGGGTTGGCCCTATTTCGCCGGCCTGTTGAGCATTGTGTCCCTTTCCGACCCGGCAACAGTTCGCTTTTTGCAGCGGCCCTTTGCCTGAAAGCCGCTGTTTGGATCCCTTCGCAAGGGCGATCGATGTTCCTTGTATGTCTGTGGGTCAAGAATAGGTACCCAAATTGGAAACTGGCAAATGGAAACATGGGCTGAAACCCGTGGTCCAATTCCTGGTGGTTGATTTTTGACCCATACACCTAGGTCTTGGCTTGGGACGCTTTTTGGGCGAGCCCGTTTTTGGTTTTGGGGTTCTTGGGCCGAGGATCTTTACTGGGCCCGCAACCGCGGATCCATGAGCCCCGAGCTCAGCCGTGGCCCGCTATGCTCGCCACGGTGCTGAAGTCATCGATGCAGCTCAGAGCTGGTATGGGTTAAAATTAAAGCACTATCCGCAGGGTTTAGTCCTTGGTTCCATTTACCAGGATTCCATTTCGGATTCCCCACTTTTTGCGCCACGGCCATATTGGAGATGCGCTCCAAAACAAAACAACTCAAAGAGACTCTAGCGCTCTGTCGCGCTTTCGCGCCCAGTTTCTCCCATGGGCCAGCAGCGGCGCAATTTTCCACCGGCTTGTCAAGCATTGCAATGGCTTTTGGTCAGGGTTCTGTGGGGAGAAAAGGAGAAAATTAAGGCAGCACAGGTGTGCACGAGAATCACCATCAGGTGCGGATAGGCAACACCCCACCGTGGGTTTGTTCAAGCTCCTTGTCAATTCTGCAACTGAAAGCCACAGCACCCTCATCATTCTGACCCTCTTTGTCAGGGCTGCTGGACGTCCCTATATGTCCCTCTTTGGCGGCTTCAACCATCACCTTCTGGGCCCCTACAAGGTGAGCTTCAAATAGTAGGGGCGATGCCTTTCAGGCAATTTGTTGCAACACAAGGGAGACCAACATGAGGTGATGCGTGGACTCCGTAGATGAATGTTTTTTGAAGATCGGAAGCTCCTTCCCTTGGCAAAAGAACGCCTGTTTTGGGTTCCTTGCGCATATGAAAATACTTGCAGGGAAGTGAGCAAAGCATTTGTAGGCTTACACGGGTTCAGAGACACGAGGGCCGCACTGCCAGTCGCAGACAGGTTCCTAGAACTTAGGTCCATTCCAAGACCCCGTTCTCATGGATGACTCGGAGGACCATACCAATCAGGGGTGGTTCCACTTTTAAGCAGGACATGGTCTGTGTTCGGGGCTTTCCTCTGACTGGAGTCCTCCGATTCATCCGAAGTCAACATGCGTGTGCTTGTTTCTGGGTACCCTTTTGGGGTTGGTTTAAAGAGAGACCAAAGGGAAACCCCCAATTTTGGGGGGTCTTTCCATTTCGACGCAGACAAGAAGCGTGCTAAGAACCTCCCCACAGGAGCCTAGGGGGCCCGGGGTTTTCTCCAGGCAAGGCGACGCCGCACATCAACCTGTCGGAGGATATCTACCTGGGCTTCAACGCTCGGCATCCAAGTTGCGAAGGTTCTAAAACAGACCCCCCCCCCTTTTGGGGTGTTTTTCCGTGCTGCCTCTTGGTTTCCCTTGAAAACACGGGCCGATGTTGAGAAGCCCTCGGAGGTTTGCTCGCATTTTGCCCAGTCCGGAGAAATGGGAGCAGGTCAATTTGACCGTGCCTGGATCTGGGCATGGACCCGGTACTTGAGATGCCTGGCTTGGTACGTCTCAAACTTGCGGGATTTCCAAAATGATTTCCTTTGGAGTTTTCCCTCAAAACCGGGCAAAAGAAGGGGTTCACACAAAGGACACATCCAGTTGTTGTGAGCTGCAAAAGGAAGTTCAGCTGAGTCTGGGGTTTTGCGAGCCGTTTGTCCTCAAAAGACAACTGCTGATTGGGCGGGCCCTGCCTTTTTCAACAAGCTTCCCTCACTCTCCGAAAACCACCTGCCACGCGTTTTTTGCGCGTCTCGGCGTCGAGGTGAAGAACCGGGGGGAGAAGTCGGACCACTTCGACTTCTTGGAGTGGGAGAAGGGCCGAGAGGCGCCCAGCGGATTTGTTTTTGAGCCATGGATCTTGGGAGTGCCAAGGCTGCCAAGGAGCTCAAAAACAGGAAACACTTCTGAGAAGCCCATGGATATTGGGGAAGCCAAGGAGCCCAAAAACAGGAAGCAGGTATGGAACTCAACAAAAATGGAAGCTAACGAGTCAAACTACACCCCCCCCAACGCAAACACATTGGTCAGTTTTGCCAACAGTTGCCCAGTGGATTCTGCCTTTTCCAACTTGATTGTGGGTTGTGGGAGGGTGGGGGCCTGTTTTAGCCATGGAGATCCACTGGGCTGAGGTCAGTCGAGGTGCCACATCGTTGGTAACTTGTATTTCCAGGTCCCTGGAAGTTTTCCTTGGATAACTACAGCCCCCGTGGACATCATTCAGGTGGCGATTACTGTCCACCAACCACGAATGAGTTGGCCCCGTTGGTAAGCTGGGCGCGAGGGGGGAAATGGTGGGGAAACTGGGGCGGCTTGGATGCTTCCGTGGACGGCTGGTGGTTGGGTTGCCCTACTTTGTTTGAGGCTTCACGGGCTTGAGGCCCGTTTTGAGTGCTAAAGTAGTGATGGTTGAATCAACCACACGGAATCGGCAGGGTTGATTTTCATTTTTTCATTTCCGGGCCCGTGAGGCCTGTGTGGGTAAAACGGTAGGTCCTTCACTGGTGGTGCGATTGCTGTTTCAGGTGTTGGAATTATTGGACAATGTGCAAATGGCAAACCATGGGCCACCAAAGTTTAAGGGAAACCGCTTGGAAGTGGTTGCGAGCCTTTATATGGCTGTGGGTCAAAGCCAATGGTACCACTTTGGGGTAGGTGAATTCACCACCCATTTTAGAACCTATTTGAGTGGTTGGATTAAATCGGATGTTCACTGGGGGTACGATTTGGATTTTGACCCATGGCCATTTGTAGGTTTCTATGGGGAATTTGACCAGTTTCCAGTGGGGAAATAGGTGGTTTTTGAAAAGAACGATGGTTGAAAAGAATGGAAAAGGAATCACCCCCTAGAATATTGGTGTTCCAAGGCAAGCGTGAAAGCCCTGTCATTTGGAGGCCATGGGCGGGGGCATGCACGTGCTCAAAACCGATTCGGGTAGATGATTCGGTTAGCAAGGGACGGTTGCCAGAAATAGCCGCGGATCTCCGGCTTCTTAATTCTTGAAGCATGGTTCTGGGTCAACCATGTTTATACCGGGTTCAATTTTGACTCAAATCAGGGGGGAGATCCCGGGAGAGGTCTCCAAGTTTCTTCGCAGAGTTCACCCAGAAATTTCGTGCAAAGTAAATGCCCGGTCGCAGTGTCCCAGGCAAGTTCCCGGACTACTTTCATTTTTGGCAACCCAATTTGTCTTGACTGGGGAAACATAAGAAGTTGTTTGGACAATTGAGATACCTGCCCCAGATCTGGCGATGGGATCGGCTGGAGGTGTCGTTTAACGCGGCGAGTACCTTCTTGTACAAGATCTCCGGAGGGAACATTGGGGTCTGGCGATCCAAGGACCGCCTTTGGTTCACGTGATGAACTGACTTGATCCATCCATGTGAAGAGGGGCAATTCCTGTAAGAGGGCGCCTTGTGTCAGACTAGACGCCTTGGTTTCCATTTGAAGCCGGCCAAAAAATGGGAAGGGGAAGGGGAGGGGGTCTCAGGAAGCCCCCTAAGTTTCGATTCCTCGAGGTTCCCCCAATTGAACTGGGGCATCCTTTTCTCGTTGCAGATTCCAAGTCGCATCAATCGGCGGTCCAAAAAAAAACAATGCACGTCAGGCTTTGTCAAAGTTTCCCCAGCGGCTTCACGCATCGCCTGTTGGTCGCCAGTTTCAAGTGAGCACAAGCTGCAAATAAGGCCCGAGCCCTAAGGCTTTGGTCGATTCCGTTGGTTGGGTTCTGCTTTAGCTCTAGCCGTGCCAAGGGATCCTTTCCTCAGATGGGAGAACACCCTGAGAAAATGGATGGCTTAGGAAGTCAACAACGGGTGAAGAGAATGGGGAGTCAACCCTCAGATGAGTCGCCTTTTTTGGCGATCCGGTCAGTGCTTGCGCACGTTCAGCGTCAACGGATGGGATGTCGCGTGCCAATTGAGTTCGAGGCTTCAAGGGAGATGCCTTTGGCAGAGCTTCTTACAGGACATGTTTGCCAGTTCAAAATCACGAGGATCCCCTAAAGCAGGTGGTGTTGAGAGGTATCCATCCATTCAGGAACGCTGTTTGGACTCCCGGTCCAAGTTCTCCGCCATGGCAATTCTTGTGACAGACATAGTTGTGGGAAGTCTCTGAGACAAGCGCTGCTTGGCGTCGTTTGATTCTCACAGGTCAACGTGAGCGCCAAGGTCACGAAAGGTAGCCCTTCGGTGTGTAGCTCGAGTACTTGCGAGGCCTCTTTTAGAGGTTGTAGAGGTGCACACCCTTTATTTTTCTCGCCGAACCCCCCCCCCCCCCCTTCCCCTGTGCGTGCCTTGCACGCTTGATGACCATTTGGCAACTGACACTTATTGCCTAGTGGTGTGTTGCATGGCTGACCAAATCTGCAAGATAGCGATACGTTGACAGACGGCCTGGTCGCTATACAGGCAGATATAGACAAACCAACAGACAGACTGACAGAACGAAAGAAGCGCAGAAGCACAGAAACAGAGAGAGAGAGAGAAAGAAATCAAGAAGGCAAGAATGAAGGAAGGAAGGAAGGAAGGAAGGAAGAAGGAAGAAAGAAGGAATAAAGAAAGGAAAGACAGAAAGAAGGAGAGAAAGAAGGAGAGAAACAAGAAAGAAAGAAAGAAAGAAAGAAAGAAAGAAAGAAAGAAAGAAAGAAAGAAAGAAAGAAAGAAAGAAAGAAAGAAAGACAGAAAGAAAGAAAGAAAGAAAGAAAGAAAACAAGAAAGAAATAATTAAAGAAAGAAAGAAAGAAAGAAAGAAGGAAAGAAAGAAAGAAAGAAAGAAGGAAAGAAAGAAAGAAAGAAAGAAAGGAAGGAAGGCAGAAAGAAAGAAAGAAAGGAAGGAAGGCAGAAAGAAAGAAAGAAAGAAAAAACACATGCAAGTAATAAAGTAAGAAATGCAGAAATCACCAAATCATGATTTAGAGGAAATACAGACAGAACTAAATGAGCATAAAAGAAGAACATCACACAAAAGAAAGACAGAGTGAGGACATAATGAAATAAAGCAATCAAGAAAGAATAACACAAAGCTAGGGAGATTGGATAGACAGATAGATTAGACAGATCGATGGCTAACCAGATGGATAGATAGAAGAACAGATTAGGAGATAGACACGCAGCATCACGTTTCCAGCTTCAGCTCAAAGGTAGATAAATGGATGCACAACCAGGTGCATGGACGAATAGGTAGATGGCTAGAATGGCAAACCAGCGTAGGCGGGTAAATGGATAGGCAGAGGCAAACAAAAATAGACGTGAGCAATCTGCATTCGGGTTCATGGCTTTCATCAGGTTCATGATGCCAAGAGCAAGGGTTTAGACACACCCTAGGGAAGCCACAAATCCCTCAAAATCAACCAAAGGGCTGGTATTAAACGCTTAAAAGGGGTGATTTTAAACCAAAAGGTTTCATCAGGCGTATGATTCTAAGGGGCCCCCCGGTGTAAACAAGGGGCTGTTTCTAAACGTACAGGCGGTGGTATGGTAGTACAGAGCAGCGCCATGTTACTCGGACAACATAAGCCCGCCATCAAATTGAGAATTCCGGTTCAGAACCAGCACCACCGGAACGGCTCTGTCTCCGTCCCGCCGTCCCGCGGAGACCACGCCGTCCGGCGAAAAAAAATAATCGCGGCCGATGGGAGAATCCGCCAGGACCTCACCGAGAGCGCCATGGTCTTGCCCACTGTGCGGGCCCGAGCGATCGAAGCTCCCGGAGACCTAGCACGGGAGAGATCCTTATCGCGCAAAATGTGGGGTTTGCGGAAGTGGGTTCCACACTTCTTTTGGGTCTCCAAGATCATGTGTTTTGGTCGAGTTTTAAATTTTCAGGCTTTGAGTGTGACTTGGGTGAGGCTTGTCTCTGTTAGCGTCACATTCTTTCTATTCGATGGAAGCAGAGAGGTACAAACATGGACGGCCCCGAAAGGGTCAGCAACAAATGTGTGGCAAACCGACCCCTCCTTTTTCCCCGGAAAAAATAAAAAATAAACGGTCTCAACATGAGGCATACATTTTGCCTGGCCACCTCGTGTTTTTGGGCATTTTGTTTTTAGGGTCGGAGTCTGCATTATAACTGAGCGTTTATGGCGTTATCGTTCTGTTTCTTTGGTTCCCTCTGAAAGAACCTCAGGGTATCCTCAACTCAAGACAAGTATGTAAACATAAGTGAGGGGCGTCCATTTCGGATTTTCCGATTCGAATCAGGCCCCATGAAGGTGTTCATTCAGGTGAAATATCCCGAGCTGGACCTGATACTTTTCGGGTTTGGAGCCTTCAGGTGGCCCTTGTTGAAGGTTTGTTCCAGCTCATCCTGGCAGCTTGGCACACCTCCAGCCTTGTAACATGCTCCTTTTTGGGCGCTGCGGGGGTGCAACACCTCCAGAGCCCAGGAAGATGCTGAAAGGGCTAGTTGGTTCCCAGACCACTCGACTTTGAGGAGAGTCCAACTTGGCTCACGGAGCGGATCAGAATGGGTTGAAGCTAAAGGTTTCTCCATGAGCTGAAAGGTGATGCTTGAAATGATCAAACACGGAAATATTGGCGCGGCTGTATGGTCCCTCTGCATGTTTCTTGTTTGGCTGTGGAGCAAATCTGTTGGCACATCGGAATTCAGCCCTGGCCAAACTCCCTTCCCGCCCATTTCAGCAACGGGCAACCAAAAGATAGGGCATCGATTTTGGCTGTTGCCGGGTGTCGTTTTTAGGTGTATAGCCCCCACCGTATCGGCGAGCTTGTCGTGTCCATGTCGCACCTTACTGATTCAGAGCTGTCGGGGGGCCAATTTCAGGGTGGCCATGGGCTGATTTTGGGCCACAATCAGAACCGATTCGGGTTGATGAAGGTTAGTAAGGGGCAGTCCCAGCCAGAAATGGTTGCGGATATCCGCCTTTTTAATTCTTGAAGCATGGTTCTGGGTAGACCATCTTAACACCAGGTTTTGATTGTGACTCATTTGGGCTTATTTGGGCTCCCTCCCCCCCTCCCCCCCCTCCCCTCCCTCCCCCCCAGCCCCCATGACAATACCGATTGAGAGATGCCGGGGAGCCAGGGATGATACCGCCAAGCCGCGAATGCCTTTGTTCCGAGTGCCATTTGCTCAGATCGATTTGCTCTCCTTCTACTTTGCCACGGTGGGGTACTTCGTGTCCTTGACGGTCATCGACGCTCTGGCGGAGAGTTTGGGCTACCTTGAACGAATGACGCCGGTTTTTGTTTTGTTTGTTTGTTCATTTGTTTGTTTGATTTATATATTTTACATTTGAAGGTTCACTAGTTCATGTAATATGTTTTAGGGTTCACTGAACGCGGGGGAGTCTTCTTTTGGAGTTGAGAGCGCTTTGGTTATTGTTTCAACGCACCAAGAAGTGGCTTTCTCAAGATTTCCAGTCGATGGTGAACTTGGGAGTCCAATTTCCCCATGTAAGCAGCATATCTCAGGTGACTCATGTGGATTAAGCAAAAAGCGCAGTCTTCTGGTGGACAGAGGTAGATCAGTTGTTCTGTCGTCGATTCCTGGTACCATGCCTGGTGAAACGGTCCAGGCAAATTCAATCCATCGAGGGGCTTTGGCTTGTGACAGAAACTGATGCAGGTTCCATTCATAGGGTCGTTTGGGTTTGTGAATTGTCAGCAGTCCCTCAGAATAGCGTACGGGGTACATGACTTTCTTGGAGTGAATCAAGCCTTGGAATTCTTCAGAGCACATGTTTCCACCAGGCCGAACCATGTGTTTTGCGGAATATCCAAGGACCCCTGTTGGTTGCGTGGCTTGTGTTTCGCCTGTCGCGAAGGGTCAGAGCTGTCAAGGGTTGTGAGCGAAATCAATGCATTTCACAGCAGGATGGATAGGGGTTGGTGTGAAGTCAAAGGGAACCTTCCATTTTCGTGCTGCTGTTAAACAAGTCCATTCCCCTGCACATTTGGCGAAAGACCCCAACAAGGGGGCCCCCAAAAGGAGGTTCCTCTTAAAAGGCCGGCCTTTTTTGGGGGTTCTATGTGAATCTGGCTATCTTGGAGTGAGCTTACTCAACTTGGGGAGTCAAATCTTTATAGAAGTTTTTTGGATTTGCACAACTTGCAGTGGAAAACCACAGGTCACCCAAAGGGCTTGGCCAGTATTCTGAACCTTCATTTGGGTGTCTCCTTTTGGCACCCCCCGAAACATGTTTATGCCGGTTTTGCTTTTGGTTTCCCTTCACAAACCAACCAAAAGGGGTTCCCTAAAAGAAGATACACCACAGAAGTCATGAAACTAGCGATTCGGCCACGGATAGGTGCTTCAGCCAAGGCCAGGGTCCCTTGGCCAGTGTTGTCGAAAGCTGCTGGGGTCAACATGGGTTCTTGGACATTTAAAGATCGCCCGTTTGATTGCGTGTTGAATGTGAGTTTCCTTTTGGTGATGTTGAAAGGCAATCAATCAAAAGAAGACGCTGCTTTTATACGGTTTGCTATCTACGTTAGACTGGACTCTTTAAACCAATCGAAAAGAAAAGGGATCATAAGGCACAACCACATTTCCGTAGTCGGCTGGTTTTCAGCCTAAGCTTTTTTGTTGCCTATTTCACCTGTCTCCTGCGTTCGATGGTTGAAGCGAGTAGGTTCTTTGGAGAGGGTAGGATTTGAGTTGTGCTGTTGCCGCAACACTTGCTTGCTTAGGGCTGCTAGGCATGGTCATGGATCCCTTGATTCGAGAGACATCAGGGCCCCCTTGAGAGGTTTCCTGTTGAAGGAAACCAAAGGCTCCCCCCACGCAGGGAAGGCTCGAACATACTCTTCGTAGGTGGCCTCCTTTCGCAACCTTAAAAAGGGAAGCCCAATGTCTCTCCTGGCATATTGCCCATTTTTGGGGGTATTTATTTGAGGGGTTCTTTTTGTAGTTTCAGGGAACACCAAAAGATCCACTTCCGGACTTGCCCCGCACCGAGTGACTGAGGACATGACCATGTACCTCTACGTGGGCTTCCACCTCATGTTGACCATGGCCTCTGTGTCTTTGCATGAGCCGCATGCTTGCAGAGAGACAAACCGAGAGGTCAAAGGAGTGACCCATTTGGCCATGAAGACCCTCCGGATTCCTGATTTCATTTCCTTTCCAGCTAGTTAACTTTAGTTTGCTTCGATCTTTCGTTCAAAAGTGCATACTGGTGAAGGGATGCCAGCTGAGACATCTTTGCCCTGTACCGAAATGATAATAGATGAAGACTTCTACTGTGGATGGACATGATCCCGCAGCTGGTGGGTGGTTTATCCCGATACTCAAATCGGGTTTCAACCCTTCGGAAATCCCAGTAGGCTGAGATATGGCGCGGTTGAGTGCCCAAACATTCGCGCGTAGCGGAGTCGGGCAAAAGTTGGAGCTGTGTATGAGGGTACAGTTCTTTGTGTCAAAGGGAAGCCAAGAGGAGCGCCATTTGGGCGCGCACCTCTTGAGGCCTTCTTGTCGGTAGAACTCAGTGGGTCTCTTGAGGCTACCCCTGGGCTTGCACATGGGGGTGTCTTAAACTTGGGATACCGCAAAGAAGCTAAGCAAAGGGCACTCGCGGTTGTGATGCTTCCTCCACCACTCCAGGTGAGTATGTGTCGTATGTTGTCAGCCAAAATGGGGGATCGGACCCCCCAAACCGGGCTTCGGTCTTCGGTTTGGTTTCAACGTCGAAATTGACCCTTAGGGCTGAACAGCTCAGTGGTAAGATGCGAACCCCAGAGTGTTTCGTCCAGACTTTTAGAGGAGGGATTGTACCCATTGTACCCATGTCACTGGAGCTTTGTGATGTGTGCTTTGGGCTGTTTTGCAGATTTCAATTTGGCAGACTGACTATGAAGCAGCGTCTGAAGGTATTGCTTTGGGTTATGCCAAGCCGCCAATGCCCAAACTGGGTTCGGAAGCCCAGGCCAAATTGGATTTGACCTGGTGCGAAATGCGGGGAATGTGGGAACCCTTAACCATCACTTCAGCCGGAAAAATGAAAGAAACCCGCTGTATGTGTCAATGTAAGGCATGATCTGAGTTGTTTTGGACCATCACTCGTGGTGTCCTTTCTTCGGGACTCAAGTTCATTCCCCGCCGCTTTCGCCGCAAAAATCGGAATGGAGCTTGGGAATGATCCGCTCGAGGCTGGGGAGCTTGGGCACCACCATGTCGGTGGAGTGGATCCTTGGGCCCGGCTTCTTCATGCCGCTGGGCTCAGAAAGCTTCAAGCCACCGCCACCGCTCCGCCCGAGCTCCGTTGAGCTCCCACGTACGGAGGGCCCGAGAGGAAGTCGTTTTTGGTTGGCTGGGGGGAAGCCAGTGCTTCCAGTTTTTGTTAACCGCATAGTAAACCTGATAAGAAGCGAAGCCACCGAGGGAAACCCATGGTAAACCTGGTAAGAAGCCACCTGGTGAGCTGTTGTAGTGGCAACTAAAAGCATTGGGGAATGAGTTGGAATGACCCTCAACTGCGCCGTCCAAGCGCCAGGTTCCGAGTTCTTTGTCCCTTAAAGAAAAAAACACGCGTTTTAAATCGGACCTGAAAAACGGAAGCTGATTGCTCGGGTTGCAACTCCCTTTCAAAAAAAAAACATATCCCGGCTCCACTGGACTGGGCGCACTTCCGGGAACAAGGAGCCCTGTGAGAGTTCCAGCTGTCACCTGCGCAGAATACCATCGCCATCGCGCGCGCGAGAGCCAGGGTTGCCTCGACGGGGTAAGTTTCGAGCAAAGCTGGGCGCAGAGCAGTGGTACTTGTCCTTTGCAAGAATCGGCTTTCTTTCCGAGAGTCAAGGCTTCTTTTCAAAATCCTGCCCACCTAAAGACAGCAAACAGGCTACCAAGCATTGAGATTGGCCCGTCCAAGCCGTTCTGCCCGGAAGGGTTCACTGTACTCCCAACCAAAAACGTCACCCTACGAAAAGGAACTCAATTTTAGATTGGCTATCTCAACAAACATATGTGATTCTTCTAGTGGTGGTGAGGTTCCCTTTTTGCCGGCTTGCATCACCTCCTGGCCCAATTCCTTTAGGTCGCCTACAGCGAGGAACTTTTTGAGCTTCTTCCACAAAAAGGGGGTATAGTACGAGTGGATGTCTTCAAGGGGTGAAGGTCTGGAAGGCTAGGAAGTAGATGGCGGGAGTAGCTACGTCACTGGCAGCAATTGCAGCGCCTCTCTCTCTCAGCTCGTGGCTTCCTCAGCGCCTTGCTGATGTTCCTAGCCCTTCGCAAGTCAGGCCAATCGCTATTGGGTTGGATCTTCAGACTTCCACTTTTTGGTTGAAATCAAGGATTTGGTTTTCCACTAAACCCCCAAAAGGTTTTAAACCACTGGTTGCGGGGCCGTTACAGCAACCAAGCTTGCCTGCTTGCACTCGAGGGCTTTCGGGCATCCTGAGCCGCGGGGGCAAAGCTCGGCTCAGGTATCTGCCGCCACTGCCGGAGCCGCAGGAAGTCCAACACTGGAGAGGTAAGGTGAACCCCGGATCTAAGTAGAAGCCCTAGTTGATTCTTATTGGGGGTGTCCAATTCCTTTTAGTGGTTGGATTCAGACCACTTTTGGAGGGAACACCCCTAATAATCGGACGGGTGTGCATGTGCATGTGTGCGTGTATAAACTCTTGCGGGTCCTGCTTGGCTTTTGGTTTCAAGGGAGGCCAAAAAGAACCTTGCTTTTGGAGCCGCCCTGTTTGATATATGCCCTTATGATCCACAATCAAGACCCGGGTAGTCGAAGAATCGTGAGGGACAGTCCCCAACCAGAAATGAGTGCAGCCGCCTTGGTAACTCTTTACATGGTATTGGGTTCACCATTTCGGTAGCGGGTTTTCATTGTGACTCATATGCGGAATGGCGACCTAGTTGCTTCAGTAGGGAGTTCTATTTCTGGGGGTGGCAATCCACCCAGGAAGCGAGCCATGGCCTAAACGACCAACAATTAGACAACACTGGGCAGGTGAGGCCGCCCTCCATCAGGTGTCGCCTGTCACACTGTCCCCGACTTCTGCAGATGAGCCGGGATTATGATGGAGGTTAGCAAGACCAATTCAAAAAGAAAACGAAACCACCACTTACCTTTCGGGCCATGGGTTGGACCACGGCACACCCTTGTCACCTCCTGAAAGGCAAACCAAAACACCCCAGGGGTGTACAAAAGAGCACCGATTCCAACTCAAAGCGAGGCTCGGGTCATTTTGCGCGGCAAAACCATGCCTGTGCAAGTAATTTGGGGGGACTTTGGGCAGGGTTTCTTCTGTTTCTCCTCTGGGGGTGGCTTCAAACATTGCCTGTTTGTTGCCAATCTAAGGTGAGTGTCCTTTCAGCAGGGAGATGATCGAAGGAAGTCAAGGGTATTGGATGGACCCAAGGGCACAAACGAGCGCCAAGTCTGCTCATAGCAAGAAAGAGACAGCTTGTGAAAGCCGAGAAGATCACGGCACTAGTAAAAGCGAAGAAACCACCAAAATTTTCCGACTTGGGCCCTGCGCTCAGGGCTCGGGCCGTTTTACAGATGGCAGCCAGCCATCTGGGCGGCGAAGGAGAAAAAGAGGAAGCCAAGAACTGGAAGGCACCGTCCCCAACTTTGAGGCTTGCGTCTTTCGAAAGGAATACCCCCCAAAGTGGGGTTCCTTGTGGTGGAGCCCCCACACAAGGAACATTTTTTTTGACGACCCCAAGGTTGACTTCAACCTAGGTGCTTCCCTTTTGCCCCAGAACGGCTACCCAAAAAATGAAAGGACACCGCCACAGGGTTCCGTTTTGGTGCCTACTTTCTGGAGGAAGAACCACCAAAAACCCCCCCCCCACTTTCAGGGTTTTTACTATACCCCTTGGGGAAAACCACCCCCCTCCCCCCACCACTCCACCTTTTCGGGGGAAAACCACCAAAACCACCCCCACACCCCCCGGGTTTCTCTTTGTGTCCACGCCTTTGCCGCATCCAAAAAAAATTCGGGCGGGAGCCAGCGTCAATCCGCCGATCCCGGTCGATGGATCGATCGGCGGCCCGAGGTTCGAGGGCCTCTTGGAGTACGGCGGCCTGGCCGAGGGCTTCCGCCGCATCGTGGTGGGCTTCGACTCCACCGCCAGCCGCGGACCGAGCGGAGCGAGCGGAGAGAGCGGACCGAGTGGCAGACGGCAGATGGGGGCACCAGACACCCGCAGACCAGAGCCCAAAAGAGGGCAAAGGTAAACGGGTACACGGGCAACCATACCCTTCTATGTTGCTGAAATGTGTGTGTGTGTGTGTGTGTGTGTGTGTGTGTGTGTGTGTGTGTGTGTGTGTGTGTGTGTGTGTGTGTGTGTGTGTGTGTGTGTGTGTGTTTGCGCGCGCGTTGTTTGTTTGTTTTTCCTTCCTTTTTTGTTGGTTAAAAATACATATGTTTCCCCTTGGCTTTAACGATACTCGATTTTCTGTTGGGCATATTTTGTTCATTTTTCCCAGGGGGCTTCCCCTTAAAGGAAGCCACGTTTGGGATGATTTGTCGGGGTCAGACTCCAATTCTCATTCCCATTTCTCGCACCGATCGCAAGTTCAAGACCTACTTGGATGGTCAAGCCTCACCTGCCAGGTTTTGGGCCTGTTTTCGCCAGGTGGCTGGCCCTCTTTAGACCATCCGGATGCCTCTCGTATGTTCAACCCACTTCGTCCCTTGCAGGAAACTGCTTGGGTCAGAGCCACTTCAGTGGGACCGGGTTGATAGACTTACTACGGTCATCACGTAAAAAGTTAAATCTCCAGTAAAGCATGATGATGCCCAGCGCATGTGTGTTGTCCCTTGTTTTCTTTTGGAAGGGTAATCCTTTGAATTGCCAATGATTGTCCCGTTTTTTCGCCGCCACGTTTGACTGATGAAAGCCGATTCGGGCAAGTGAAGGTTAGGTTTGGGTTGGTGGTTTGTTTTGGGTGTTTCCCAAATGATCCTCTACAAGAACCAGGGGTTCAATTCCCCAAACCGCCAAAATTCAAACCGCCAGTTGAAAACCACCAATTCAAGCCACCGATCAAGGGTTGCCTGATTCGGGGCGGATCCCCGGCCTTTAAATTTGTGTTTGGGGTAGCTTTTGCTTGTCTCACTGGCTTCAGGCATCCTGCCCGCTGGTTTGCTGTATTGGCCCGGGCCCCGGAAACCGGGGTACAGCCGAAACTGGAGTCACCGGCTGCTTGGTAGAACTATGTGACATCTTGGCCGAGCTCTCCTTTGTGCTTGCCTGGATTCGTTTTGCTGGTTCTTGTTGTGATGTTGACTTTTCAACTGTTTGGAATCTCTCCGGATTTTTTTTCCAGCCAACAAGTGGTTCAGTTTTTGTTCATCCTTCGTGTCAGACACAGCTTGCCTTCGGGATGTTTTCTCCCACTAAGATGCCTGCCCGCCAAGTTTCGTGCGAACTGGACTGCGTTTCGAGGCATAAAACTGAGGATGCGGACAGAGGATCAGGGTTTTTTCGGCCATGAGTCGGCTGTAGCAAGGTGGCTTGCAGCTGCCAGATTCTCCTGAGTGTTGGCTTGCTAGTAGATATGGCAGTGGCTCAAAAACCGGTACCAAAATGGCTTGCCCTGGTAAGTGGAAACATGGACCAACACGTGCGGTGTGCCCCTCCTGTTTAATTTTGAGCCATATGGCTCTGGCCTCCAAAGCGGTGGACGAACCGATCCCCAGCTAAATGGTGTCCACCAAAAATTCCCCGAATCAACATCCAGACCCAGATGGGTTTCCCCACTGTGTTTTTGAGAGGTTTGAAGGTGGCCGGATTCTTTTTTTCCGTGACCAGTACGGCTGTACTGGGGATGTTTTGAGGTGGAGGTGCCACCAGCCATAGACGGATTCCAACCAGAGTCGAACGAACTACTGTGGGTGTGACATCATGTGACCGATTGCGTCCCTGTAAAGGGGCTTGTGCTTAAGGGCACCAAGTTGTCACTTGAGTTCAAGCCTCTCATAGATGTTCAAGTAAGAGTAGAAACTAGGTCAACTATTTCCTCCGCCTTTGTTCTCCTGTTCGCGCCAAAGGCCCAATCACCATTCATTTAGGTTGTCAAAGAGCAAGCGCCCCGAGAACAAAGTTAAAGGGGGAGTTGTCTTCCTGTGTTTTTGCAGGCGTCAAGCAGGCCTTTCTGTTTCCTTAGATTATTGGAATGTATAAACTACCTAAATGAAGAGGTGTTCGCATGGAGTTCAAAAAGCCCCAGCCTGTGTCATACCACTCATGTACCTACCAGACATGAGGCTTTTTGAAGTCCAGCCAAAGCACGCCCCAAACAAAACCAAGCCCCCTCACGCACCGAGCAGTCATTCAACAAAAATCCCTAAGTCCAGTCAGAGCCACCAGCACAGGCCCTCGTGCAAAAACCAGACATAGTTTTTGTCCCTTCCTGTCAGAGCCAGGGCCTTGACGCTGATGTTCTTCACCTTCCAGAACAAGACCAAGTCCTCCGCCGTTCGCCAGGCCATCGACGGCTGGTTGCGGGTGTCTCGTCGAAGGCGTTGCTGGAACCCATGGCTCGTGCATCGCCGCGCGTATCGACGGCGTTTTTGTTGTTTCCTTTTTCACGCGCGGCGTTTTTTGTTGTTTTTTCTCCATTGCGCTGATCTACATGCGTATGTATGTGTATCTATATATAGTATATGTATGACCTTCTTTTTTTTCCCTTTCTGCGTTGCTTGGTACTTTCCAGTGGCTGGACTTTTGGCCCTGACTCAGTTCCCAGGAGATTGAAGCGAATGCGCCGTTGCCCCGACGCGCCGCCGGAACTTGGGCTCAAGCCGTTGCTGGCGGGGTGCTTGGTAGGTCCGGGACCCTGCGAACGGGTGCCCGACCTCTGACCGTTTCTTTTTTGGTTGGGAGGGGGAACCCCCTACGACAATAGACAACGGAAAAAAGTTGGTACCCTTATTCTAAGCTCTCAAATCTGGAGGACCTAGATACTGTTCCTTCGACTGTAAGCTTTTGAGCTCTCAGAGCTGCTTTAGCAAGGGATCCCAAAACCACGCAGGTAAGGGTCGATTCCCCATTCACTTCCATGTGAAACGATGCTGCCCATCTATTTTGGACCCAGGACGTGAGCCGCTGACAGTCTTATTGATACTCAAGTGATGGTTTAGGAAAATCATGGGCGACCACCCGGTTGTCGCGGGCCCTTTTGTGGAAGTCATTTCATGCAGGGCTTATGTGTCTGAGCGGAATGGGGACCTTTTGCGGAGTGCCAGAAACAAATCGGGATCGGTTTAAGGGCAAATCCAATGTGCTGAACTTATGGCCAGAGTGGGCCGGGCGGTGAAGAAAGCTGAATGTAAGAATCCCTTTCTGCAACAGGTGGTGTCGCATCTTCCAAGCGAACTTCGGGTGTTGCCACTTACATGGGAGACTCCCACGATTTCCGAAAATGGGAGACTCCCACGATTTCGAATCAACACTCCCCAACAAAACGGCAGGTTCTTCAAATTACCGAAGCCCAAAATACACAACGGTTCAACGAGATTCACATTTACCAGGGGCATACCGATCGGGTGTGTGGTTCAGATCACTCCTGAAAGGTGTTTTTTTTGGATTCTTTTCCCATCCGTTGGGCTAGAGGGATTTTCCCCCTGCTGCGTAAATGAGAACATTCTGAGAAAATGGAACATCTCTTGGTCAAGCATGCAACGACTTCCTTTGAATTGCTGGCTCTGTGGCTTGAAAGGTTCGCGGAAAGGAGCAATCCTGAGGAATTGCGAAGAGATCTAAGAGGGCGCCCTCGCCGACCAGCGGTTGTTACCTCAGACCGATCATGAAGGTTCCTTTTATGGAAATTACAGGGAGTGGGGGGTATGCCTTTGCGGCTTTCCGGTTTTGTAGATTGAAAGAGCAACCAACGGCAACCAATACAACCAAGGAATGGGACCAAAGAAGGCATTAATTCTCAGGATCATGAAACCCAGCAGGAAATTCTAGAGCAAATGCGCCAAGCACCGACCAAGAGCACGTGAGCCAAGCACCTACCAAGAGTCTCTCGTCTTTGTGATTGTCCTATTTTAATATTTTCCCTGGTAGCTTCTGGCTTGCCTTTAGTTTCCAGATGTCTTCAGCCAGGAAACCAACGGCAACATACCTAATGTCTTATGAGACCTACCTGTGTCCTGACTTTTCCTGACTCCTCACTCAAATTCTTTTAGCTTTTCCTTTTTGGCCGCAGCTTTTCCCGCGGTTTCCTTTGGTCCCAGCCCCTTTTCCAAGGGCAAACTTGGCCCTTCGCGACTCGCCTCGCGACTCGCGACTCGCCATGGACCTGCTGCCTTTGGACGTCTCGTGGCCGAAAAGCTCCGCGCTGGCGGCGCCCGGGGACCCTGAACGTTTGTGGCGTGGGGTCGCTAGCTTCCATTTGGTGCAAATAATATATTTGTTGTTTCTCCCAGTTGGTTTTAAAGGGAATCGATTTCACTGCTGGACATATTTGTTCATTTTTTCCAAGGGGCTTAAGCAAATGGACGCTACTTCGGTCTAGGTCCAAACCCTGAAGGGTAGGGCAGAGCACCTGGGCTTGGCATAGAACCCACCAGGGCCCCAGGATAGGACATTGGGGGAAACCATTATGTAACAAGAGGCACCCTGGTTGCACCTTGCAACTGGAAGCACTGAGAGTAAATGCCATCATATATATATATAAGTATAGACATAGGTGTTGTTGAGGGTGCCCTTTTTTGCAGAGGTTTTCAAGGGACAATGGGGTGTCCCTACTTACCCATAGTTTTCGGCACTGCAAGCAGAACAGCCTGGCGGCCCCATGGAGGCGGAAGCCGAGTCTTCGGCGAGCGAAAAGTGAAAGCCTGAGGTGAGCCTTCGTGAACCTTGGCGAACCTTAGTGAACCTTCGTCAACCCAACTGAACCCAACACAACCCAACTGCAATCTACACAACTCAACCCAACTGATTCCCCTGCAGTCACAACCTGGGTGAACCCCGGGCCTTGTCACAAAAGCGGCCGTTTGGCGCTTCGGTCGGCAATCGCTTTAGGTTGCCTTCCTCTAGCTGCATCCTGGTGCAGCGTACCAGGCGCCGAGCTTAGGCATCTGGCCGATTTGTCCTCCCTGGACGCCGAGCTTTTGGGAATGACCGTTTGAGCTGTTTAACGCTGACCCCATATGAATGTTGACCCCTGTTTATGGGTTTAGTGGGGAATCGGACCACTTTTGGAGGGGAACACCCAAAACCACCCTCCTGTTATTTAACGGGGGTTTATTGATATGGGGTCAACATTATGCAGCGATTTGGATCTGCTTTGGCCAATACGCTCAGGAAGTGAGGTGCATGTGCCATGGTCACAAAACAACGGGCTTCTTGGGGATGCTATAGGGATAGTGATGGAGTCTTGCGTTGGGGGGTTAGACGCCCGGAAGAGTTTCCTTGAAGCAAACCATGAGCATTACCACAGCCGTTCTTGGAGCAACCTCTCTACTGGAGGACCTAGTCTAAGAATGGGCGGCCAGGAGTCCTGCGCATGTGGGGCATCCGAGGTCCACGTGCAGACCTCTGGGCTCTTGCAAGGATGGATCCGGGGGGTTTGCCTTGGCAAGGGGCCAAGGCAAGGGATCAAAGCCCGGGAACCCCAAGAAGACAACAGGGAGCCGCTGACCAGTGAGTCATGAAGCCGCTGACTGGGGGAGAATAGAGAAACCGGTTTAAGTGGTCCAAAAAGTGCAGGGGGCAGACCAGGGCAGACCAGGGGGCAGAACGGGTTCTCTAGTCCACTTGCCTGGGCCAGGCTTGGGATGCGAGGAAAGGAAAGGAACCCGTCTTTGGCGGCTCGATGCCCTGTTTCGGTGTACAGGGAGACCAAAGGGAGCACCTGCATTTTGGAGCCATCGTCCACGGTCAGTTTCGGGTTCACGGATTTGTGCGAAAAAAGAAGCCACCCAATTCGGGGATTTGCAGAATAGTTCTTTGTGCCGAAGAAAACTGAACCTCCAGGCCGCCAATCCAAAGCCGAGCCTTGAAACGATCAAGCCTTAGGGTGGCTATTTTTGGTTCCCCTTGACAGATCTCCCAGGAGTGTTCGGGGCTTTTATGCCATAATATGAAAAATGTTTGGTTACCCTACCAAAGATATCCTTGTATTTCAATCCAGGGACAGCCAGCGGTACTGCCTTTTGCTCAAGATGGTCCCTGGGTTTTGCATTCGTTTTTGGTCCCGAAACTATTCGCTCTTTTTGTTGAGTTGAGTAAGGAGAAGGGGTGTGAGCAGATGGTCGGGGCGTTTGAAGAGACCTGGAGTGGAAGGCCAGAAAATATGGTTGTTCGTCTCAAAATGGGACCCCCTTTGGTTTCAAAAGGTATCCCACAATTGGTTTCAATGGGAATTTTGCCAACATTGGTTTCAAAAGAACTCCCAAAAGGGCAGCCATCAAAGGTTGGGTTACAGGAAAATCTACAGGAAAGGCCCCCCAGCACACGCTTAATCAGCTGTTTTCTGGTTGAATTTCCAGTAATCCAACCCTTTGAACCGGTTTAGCGGGAAAAACTCTGCAGGACCTGCGGTTCCTGGTGGCCGCTCTGGTGAAGCATCCACGAGAGGGAAGGCGGGATGGTCTTTGCATGCCTTGGTGGTGGTTGTTTGGGTTTGGTTGGGATTCCTCTTGGGTTGGGTTGGCTTTTTAGTCCGGTTTCAGGCTTTAGGTGTCTGGGGTTGGGTTCTTGGTTCGGTTTGGTTTTTCGGGTGTTTGGGGGTTGTGTTTTAAGGTCTTGGGGGATTGTTAAGGACATGTACAGACAACCGGCTGGTAGAGGATACATGGGAAAACAGGAAAACAACAACAACAGCAACAACAACAACAACAACAACAACAACAACAACAACAACAACAACAACAACAACAACAACAACAACAACAACAACAACAACAACAACAACAACCACAACAACAACAACAACAACAACAACAACAACAACAACAACAACCAACAACCAACAACCAACAACCAACAACCAACAACCAACAACCAACAACCAAAACCAACAACCGACAACCAACAACCAACAACCAACAACCAACAACCAACAACAGCAACAGCAACAGCAACAGCAACAGCAACAGCAACAGCAACAGCAACAACAACAACAACAACAACAACAACAACAACAACAACAACAACAACAACAACAACAACAACAACAACAACAACAACAACAACACAACAACAACAACAACAACACCACCAACACCAACACCAACACCAACACCAACACCAACACCAACACCAACACCAACACCAACACCAACACCAACACCAACACCTACAAACAAACCAACAACAACAACAACAACAACAACAACAACAACAACAACAACAACAACAACAACAACAACAACAACAACAACAACAACAACAACAACACAACAACAACAACCAACACCAACACCAACACCAACACCAACACACACCAACAACAACCAACAACCAACACAACAACA